TTGCATTCTGTGATTTTTCATTGTGCCAGTCACTTGCACACACACACTCTTACACTCTTGCACTCACACAATCTCACACTCTCATTGGAGGTCCTTCAGCTGCCTCTTGTGTGATATTGAGTGCACTTTGTCAAAAGTTATTTTGCAACATTTGCTATTATGCGCTCGATAACAATTTTATAACATTTTCCACCAGCTCCCCCGCTTCTTCATTCCCTTCATCTCGTTTTTTGCGTTTCGCAATTTATTGTGTTACATATATTATTATTGTGTACTGAAAAATGCATTTTTCATGACATAACAACGACCCGTTTGGCATTGGCAGCCCGAATTGGGTTGCCCTGCCCGCCGCCCATTTCCCATTTCCCATTTCCCATATTCTATATTCAGTATACTCCATCCTCCCGGCGACGGGAAAAGTTTTGGGTTGAAAAATGGCTCTTGGCCTGGGTTCGGGATTCTGGTACGGCACTACGAGGTCTTCCCGCTCCACGGAACGGCATGCGTATATAAATTGTTTGCGACAGTAATTGGAACACAATGTTAAAGCATGAAATTTTAATTTGATTTTCGATCGAGCCCTTCGAGTTTATTCAGGCTCGCCCGCAGATAAAAAGTTGCCCCACATTCAAGTTTACTGAGAGTCGTTAAGAGAAGTTGATATGATTGAATGCATAAATACGAAGGAAGGTATTTGGTTATCATCACCGGGGGTTATCGGCTGCCTTAAAAATTTATTGAGAATTTATGGCAGGTAATTGGATTCTTTTCATGGCTATAGTTTACGAGAAATTTATTTGTGCTGCGCTTTTAAGGCTTCAATTTAACGAGGTGCATTGTTTGTGAAACTATAAAGAAAATTTAAAGGCCAAATAGGTTTTATGTACAAATTTTAAGTTTACTATGCGGGTTTAAAAGCTGTTAAATATTTTATTAAACTTTTATTTCGTTACAATATTTATGGGTTAAATTGTTAACCGCATTCTACAGAATTTTGATATTTTTGTGAAACCCTTTCAACAATTATTTAGCTTCCCTGAACTTTCCCATTTTCTTCGTGTGTCATTTCAAAGTAAACTTGTCTGCAACTAGTTGTTGACTTCAATTTAGTCGCTTGATTGTTTTTTGACGTTCTCTGGCTTCCCTTTGCGGCCTCCTCGGCCATATGCCATCGAATGAATGGGGCTTCCATGGCACTCCGCCCTAATCGAATGACATTCTTCGAGAGTGATTCTTCTAGTTTCCAGGTAACCCACATGGCAAAATGCCAGTTGCCTGCTGTCCATTGTCTTGAGTTGGCCCGTCTGGCGACTTGACTTGGCATTCATCTGCCTTTGTGCTGGCCCATTCGAAAGTAAACTTAAAGCTGGGCTTTAGTTTTACTAAATTTCCCTGCCCTAATCCAATTAATCACAAATCCCCTTTCAAAATGGGAGGAGCTTGTAAGCCGCTTGGCATTATCAATCAACTGGGAAGGAAGTATTTATCGGACAAGCTTATCGATTACACATGCGAAAAGTTATAAAATTCGATTAAATTTCAGAAAGACTATAAAGGCAAAGCAAAACACCAGCAACAACGAAATTCGCATCATTAATTTTTTTGCTGCAAAAATTTATCGCCTATGATTATGCAGGGGGCAAAAAAGAAAAACAGACAAAGGACTAGAGGGAGAAAGCGGGGAAAGCCATTTCTAACTTTCTTTCCCATTCGGGGAGGAGGGCTCGGTTTTCGCCTACCAATCATTATTCAATATGTTGACTTTTGTGCTTTCCACATTTGTTTCGCTCCAAGCCACATAAGTCATGTTGTCGGTGGAAAGGCGGAAAATGGGAAAGGGCATGCAAAAGACAAAGAAAAATTTGCTCAAGTGGTGCGAAGGGAAAGCGCAGCGCGTCGATGTGGAAATTGTGATAGTGAAAGGAGGATGGGGGCCATCCCATCCCCGCCCTTTTTCGCCTTCCAAACAATGAACTGTGCGGCAACACTGTCGAAGTTGTTTAACTTTGCATTTGTCCGGGTCCCAGGCCCCAGCTACTTTTTGTCCTTCCCCGAATCCCATTCCCATTATCCTGAGCGGCAGCTTAGTGTAGCCTTTGATTAAGGCCACCTACAAGTGTCAGCTGGGCGAGTGAAAAGGATCCAGGTGTCGATTTGGCCAGGTGGGAAATCACTAAACTTTAACTGGCAATTTAAAGTTTTTCCGCAGATACCTTTTAAAGTGATTTTTTTTGTTTGTTTTGTTTAAAGGATTCACAGCTCAAAAATAAATCACCGCAAATCGGAATAATCTGCAATAATGGAATGCATTAGATTCATTTGATGTTTGCCCAGCGCAAATGCAATTAAAAGTTGCGAAATTAAAAGCAAATACAAGGACCGAAAAATTTAATTACGCATATTAATTCAACCATGGCGGAGTGAAAAATTAAGACTATTCTCCCGCCTCTCTGTTTATCTTTATTTATTTTTCAGCTCCGCCCACTGGCAATTCATTTGCCATCAATAAAGCCACCGCAGATGGATGGCACACAGCTTTATTGTTTTTCACCCCCGTCAATTATTGCGGAAAGTTGTCAATGGGAATGAAAATGAATTTTCCAAGGCGAGCGCATTCGAAATGTGATAAAAATTCAAGCTGCAAATGAACTTGCCAATGAATGGTTCCGTTTTCGGTTTTGTAAATTTAATTTGCGTTTGCCCAACTGTTTTCGCCTCTATTGCCTGATGTTTTGCGGTTAACCAGAAATGTTCGTCTGCAACACATTTGCAGTTTCACAAAGCTCGCAACGAAACGAAACTAAACGAAATGATTTCATCCGAATTCACCCCTTAGCCAGCCAGTCTGTCTAACAATTTTCCGGGATCGTTTGCATTGTTGCGGTAAATTGGTAAAATTTACATACCATTGGCTTTTATTGTTTATGTATCGCTGGCATCGCATCATGAGCTAGCTGATGATGGCTTTAAAATTGCGGCGATTAAAATGGCAGTTGCTGTAACCTCTTTAGTTCCAGTTTTGCTTTTATTCTAATTGGTTTGCACAGCGCTCGAAATAACACTTATAATTGGCATTTTCTAATTACTCAACAGTTTATCGGGGATTTGGCTTCGCTCGATTATTGATTTGTTCAATGAAGTGAAAGCCAGTCAGTGGTTAGTTCACTGGGTCAGAAAAGTGTTGTGAAAAGTTTTGAATTTACATAGTTGTTGCCTTTTATATTGGGTTTATATAAATATATGATAATATTCATAGATATTACTCATTTAAATTCAGGAGGTTTAAAGCAAAAGTTGCTTCAGTTTTTTAGGGACCTACTTTCGGTTTCTCTCCTTTATCCTGGGCCATTTTAAAGGCCATAAACCAAAGACCACTTCACATTTCGACCATAAATAAGGGGGCACACCGGCTTTTAAGTATTTCGCTGGGGAAACGTGCTGGAAATGTGGAGAACTAGTGGGGACGGCACCTGTCCTTAATGGTTTTCCCACCATATGCTTGATTTATTTGACAAAGGAAAAGTCAGGGGACCTTCAATGCATTTGCTGTTGTCCGATAAGTTGGTTCTTGACCTGCTTCGTTTTGTCCTTTTATTTTTTTTGTGCTGTTGTGCGCTTCTGTTAACATACAATCGTCATGTAATAGTTTGTCAGTGGGCTTCGTTTTGTTGGCCTGGCATAATGACAGCTGTGCGACATGTCATGGGATACCGGGAATGGGGTTTTCGGAGGGGGCCGTTTGCATGCAGAGTCACATATTGATGATGTGCGTCAAATGTCGCTGCTGTTGCTGTCAATTTTGTGGGCCACAATGGCGGGGGTATACCGCACACCCCCTCCCTTACCCCTGTGTATTCCCCATGGCGGCGTTTGCCTTCATTTATGTTGCTCAGGGGTCAAATGTTGTTGCTGTCGGGGTTACCAGTTGTTGTTGCTGCTGTTGCTGTTGTTGCTTCTGCTGCTCTTATTGCTGATTTTACTGGCTTTGTTGCTGCTGCTGTTGCTGCTGCTGCTGCCGATGTTGTTGATGTTGCTGCTGTTGCAGCTGATGTTGCCGCTGCAGCTTGTTTGACAAATTGATCGCGTGATATGTTTGCCCAATGCTGTCATTGTTGTGCTGCAATGGCCGCATAGTTGTTGCACCCACTGTTTGCTGCCGCACAAGCATATTCCGTTGAGTTGCATTAGTTTACACTGCATACAGTGCTTTCCACAAGGCAACACCCACACCCCTTGTTCTGTGTATGCGCCTGTATATTTCGTACTCGAAATTGCTTTCGATGTAAATCGAAACCTTTGTGTCCGGCAAATAAGCCGAGGTCGAGAAGAGCCAAACAACTGCAAATTGGTAAGCCCTTGTCGGACAACTTTGTAACGGACTTTTGATTGGGTTCAGATTCTTCAGTCCTCCTACAGATTTCCACATATGCATAATCGAGGCCCACTCGTCGTCGCTCCGACGACAGTTATGAGTGGGTGGGTGGTGAAGGTGGTGGTGGTGGTGGGATCCTGGTAGTCCTGGGAGTCCTGGCAACGTCAATTCGTTAACAGCTCCGTCAGCTTTGCTGCTAATTTTGTTTGCCCTGTGTCGCCCACCCGAAAGCCACCCAAGCCCCCGTCACAGTGCTGGCTAAAAGTATGCGCACGCTTTGTGCAGTCCGAGTCGCCACAGTCGCCCCTCTTCCTCTTCCCCTTCCCCTTTCACCCCTCCCCACATTCGTTGTCGTCCCTTTTGTTTGCCCAGCACTCCAAACACTGCAGACAGAATGCTGTCGAAAATGTTGCCGCCTGATGTCTCTATCCAGTGTGTGTGTCCTCCTCCATCCAGTTAATCCGCCTAACGTTATGCAACAAAGTTTTTGTGGAAAATTAATTAATTTCATGTGCAAACAGTTGTTAGATTTTTTCCCTTTCACCTTACCACCGTTACCCATCCTGCCGTTTAATTGGCTTAAAACATTTCCGTTGCTCGCCATTCTAATTAGATCTCCTTTTTGCAGATTCCTCTACAAATAGTACACATGTGCCAACCTGAAAGCTGAGCGGTTTCGGACGGAAAAAAGCCGAAGTCGAATAGGAAAATCCATACCAACGAATTCCTGGATAAGTGATGAAGTCATGAGACCGACATTCGATCGACGCCTCTGGATATTATTGTTCATTATTTCAGTACAATGTAAGTAGCCGACAGGCCAGAAAAAAAAACAACAAAAACTATAGCAAATCCCCACTCACATATGTTTTTTACGGTCCTGTTTGTAAGTGTGAGTGTGTGTGTGTGTGCAGGATGTTGAAATGAATGGGCCAAGTGGCCTCAGCAGGCCAAGGAGCTCATATATTGCCGGGGCAGAGAGAATGGACCACTTTGTATGCCGGCAACGTGTGAAAAATAGTTCACAGATAATCGCAGTCAGGCAGGTCACATTATTTATGCGCCAGCACACCAGCTTACCACCATTCCCATCCTAACATCCTTGTTGGCATCCTTGGGATCCGCTTCCCATCCCCTTATCAGCTTGATATTCTATGCCACATGCAGCAAACAAAGCCATTTCTTTTATTTGATGTGCGTTTTGGGGGCCAAATTGGAGGAAAAAAGCCGAAGAAAGCTGACCCTGGGCGTTTTCTGGTTTCTGGCATCCTACGGGCAACGAAAAACAGGTCCTGCATATCAATGGCAATGGTCTGTAAATAAGGAAAATCCAACCCCCCTCCTGCTCGAAATTCCTCTCTAATGCAATGAGTAATATGCCATTGTCAATGTCTATTGGGTCCATGCGGCGTATGAGTAATATGCAGCATTGTGATTCATTTTTTCGTATTTGTTTTTCTGGCTGAACTGTATTTTGTTTCACGGCTAAAATCACGAATTTTCTTTCTTTTAATGGGTCATCTGTTACTTTATGTGGCAAATGATAAATGTGAAATCTAAAACTCACAAATGCATTGGTTACTTTGGTATTTTGTCCATGCAGCTCTTGAACAACATTTGATTTTGGTAAGCATGTTAGCAAATCGAAATAAAATTCCCCCAAAATCCCTAACAAGCTGTCGCATCCGATACAAATTTTATTGAGTATTCCCAACCGCTCACGACTTCATTCAGCGCGGGGTCACTTCAAGGTTGCAATCAGCACTGCAAACACACACACACACGCACACCCACCCACACACACGCGTACAGTGAAAACCGAACTGAAGTGGAAATTCAAGCACTCCCTCACTGCAAAGGCAAAGAAAATGCCCGGCATTTTCCCCGACAGTTCGCACGCAGACATTCAAACACACTCACACACACACACACACAGCGAACGGAAACGGAAATGCGCGTTCAAGAATTTTAATCTGCATGCGCAATTTCGCGTGTGAGCTGTATGCCAAAAATGGCGCGCACATGTCGGCCAACTGGCGACTGTGGCAACACCACGCCCGCACCACTAGTGCACCGCCACCCGCCGCCCAGGCACCGCATGCCCCACATGCCCCACTGTGGTGCGCCTTGGAATTTCACGCGTTTATTTGCAAAGATTACGAAATGCGACCGGTTGCCGCTAAAGTTTTGTATGCGCTTCCTGCTGCCGGCGATGCCTTTTCCTTCTTGTCTGTCTGCCAGTGTGTGTGTGGAGTGTGTGTGTGCGCGTGTCTTTTCCTTCCACGATTTTCCACCTACCCTTCCCCCTCTGCATCCCTTTTGGCCATTTTTTGCTCTGTTTGCTTGTCCGTCCGTCCGCTTCGCTGACTTGTTATGCATGCAAAAGTCTGTGGCAAATACACAGACCCCGGCTACACGCCACCGACCCCCTTCGAAGTCCTCGCAGATGGGAGTGACATGCAAAATATTTTTGCATAAAAATGTTTGCCCACCAACACGGATCGGAGTCCTTGCCGCATCCGCATCCGCATCCGCATCCTGGCAGCTGCATCTTACCCTTAATTTGATGTGAACCGGGTAGAAATGTTAAATTTTAAAGCATTTCAATTTCGCATTTTTGACACACGCAAGTTGAGCATGAAATTTGCTAGATATACATACATATATACAGAGTACGTTGTATAGCCGTTTTCCGTTTTGGAATTTCACCTTGGATACCAGGGAGTTTTCCCCTACACCCCCTCCAATCCCCGGATACTTAATGTCCGGCATTCTATCTCATGTATTTAAGCGTACTGCGTTTGCTACGTGCTGTCCATGCAAAAGGACCCTCGACTCCTATTTGCCGCTTGCGAAAACAAGGAGACATCGGCGACGGGGCGTATTTCATATTTAATAAAGTGGGACGCATTTTATTACAGGGCGGTGATGAAATCAGACGATGATCTGCCACATTCCGTGGATTATTGACCTGTTTCATGGGCACTTGTAGGTTATTAGTGCTGTACCATGTTGTTTTACGCTCGTTTTTATTTCAATATCAAGTCTAGTGCTTTGGAACAGATTGTACTTTGTAGGCTCTTAAATATTTACTATCAGGGTGCTACAAAAATCTTTTCAAATAAAAATCTTAATTTTCAACATCAATAAAGGTCTTTGACAAACCTTGACAGATCACAAAATCGTAGAAAATTACTCATTAGTTCCTTAAAATTAGAAAGAAGTTGAGAGGATTTGTGAAACAGGTGGATTAAAGAATTTGTAGAATATATTAATTTCAAGTTCTCGTTACATTTTGGGTTTGTTTCACTTTCAGATTAATTCGCCTACTCAAAAGTAGTCCATGGAGTAACCCAAATTTACCCAGATCTTATCTCCGTAGACGGCAAAAATAGTTTTTTCTTAGCTGCTTAAATTTCTGATGTTACCGATTTTGCGAGAGCAGCAACCGCAAGCCATATTTCTTGGCCAGGAAAAAGGGAGAAAGGGTGGGGAGGGGGAGGGGATAGCGGCTCTTGAGACCCTCGAAACTGCGGCACTGATGATGTCGACGGGAATGGAGATGAGTGGTGCGGCAGGGAAGCTGCCAAGTCGGCGACTTAGTTAGCCACTTTTCTTTCATTGAAAATGCGCCTTTTGTGCCTCAAGTGGCGCCCCCGACTTTTGTCTATTCGCTAACCAACTCCGCTCCCTGGCGATCCGATGGAAAGAAAAATAGAGCCAGCTAGCTAGCTGGCTGCGGCTGCCTGGCTGCAAGTTTATTTTAAAACTCGACTTTTGTACGCTCAAGTTTACTTTTGTGGGCGAATTACTTTTCGGTTATTTTTGTGGCCCAGTCATCGCCGGTTCTCCCTTTTGGCCGGCGAGTATCTCTTAGCTGATTGTCTTGTTGTTCGGGTGTCGATGCACAAGTTGCACTGGGTGTTTTTCAATGGCCTTGCGGTGGGTGGCGGAGTTTATTATGTGAGCCAGTTGAAGTCGATGCTGCTGCCGCCGTCGCCACTGCGCAAAATGCAATTATTAAAAGTTTTTCAAGTTGTCCGCTCCTTATACATTTATTTTTCCTTTCTTCACCGCTTTTGTCGTGCTCTGAAAATTATAGCCGGCGCCATTTTGCTGTCCATAGTTCTCGTCTTAACCTTCTACGCTGTCATTTTTTTTTCGTGCTGTTAAACATGGCATAGCAAATGTAGTCCATTGAAAAGTTTCGCGTAAAGTTTCCAGCAGAAGTTTTTGTTAAAGACGTGAGTCCAAAAATGTGGCAAAGCCAGCAGGCGAGGCAGCTCTTTAAGCCCTGTTGTTTTTAGCCGGAAATGTGCACGGATCGCGGAACGAGAGGCCAAAAATACCAGAAAAGCGGAAACGTGGCTAACAATAAGAGCTGCAAAGGGCAGAAAACGCGAACTTCCGTTTAAAATTTCCTAACATTTCAAGCTCACCCTCTTGACCCCTGGGAAAGCCCCCTTGAAATCCCCTCAAAAAAGAAAAAAAAGGGCGGGGGCAAAAAGAAAACCCCTTCGTGTGGTCAACACGTAACAGACGCTACTGGGCTTCCTCTTCCTGTCCAGACCGACCAAAATTGGCCGCACACTAAATTGCACACCTGAGAATTAATGCGCCGGCCACTCGAAAGGCGTTTTCCGAAGCCCAAGCAGCGGCGGCAATGGCCAAATTGGTAAATGGAAAATGGAAAACGGCCAATGGGGGCAGCAGCAGGCCAACAAAAGGTGTGAAGGCCGAAAGCGATGCAACCTGCAGTTGCAGACAAATGCAAAGTCAAATGCTTTTCGCAGACAGACGGGAAGCCCGTCTAAAGTTGTTGCCAGTTGTTGGCCAACGCCTGCGGGCCCTGTCGTCTTTTGGCCAAGACCGCACAGTGAGAGCACGAAGTTTTGGTTACAATTGAGCGGTGTTACCCAAAAATTGAAGAATTCGATAACCTTAATCAAATGCTTTCAATTCAATAGTTGAACTATAAATAAATTAGAGTAATCTGCAATAATACATTCATTAAAATTTAATTACCAGTTTATTGTTAAAATCTCACTTAATGAATAATATCACAAAGATCAGAAGTATTTTTTGTGTGTATTTATAAGGCCAAGAATATCAATTTACCATGAGTCCAATAAGGGAGCGAAAATAAACCCAATTAATGCACTCAACTTCGCATTTTTTGTGTGGCGTTATCTTGGAGAGAATATCTCACATAAATGAAATATATATCACCTTTTTTTAAGCCCTGGATGTGTGCCGACTTTATTGACCAACTGTATAATGTACAATTCCTTCTGCTTTTCGACTTCTTTCGTTTTCCGAGGCTCAGACAAAGTTGCCGTCCCATCCGCTCGGCTTTTCCTTGGCTCGCCCTTTGCTGGTAAAAGCAAGTGAAAATAAATTAAGTGGAAGTAAGTCGTAACGAAGTGATACATAATTCCTTGTACTTTTCCGTTTTTTTTTTTTCGGGCTGTTCCTCCGTCCTTCGAATCCTTGGCGCCGTTTTCTTTGTGTGCTTTAACAATTGAGCGCAAGTTTTGGTGTAGCCAAGGAAAATCGAATAGCTTTAAGCGAGGGATTTTCCAAGGTCCACAGCTTAAAGGATGTTAATTAGCAGCACTATTAGCTGTAGTGAAATTTTGTGAAAAGCGGACGGTGAAAGTTGGGAAAGTTCTGGTAAATTTCCGGCACAGTCCCCCGGTAAAGGTAACCTAATATACCGTAATTCGCCCTTAATGACCCAGTTGAGAAGACCGAAGAGGTCTTCACTCGGCGTCTAAATAGCCTAAATAACTTAATATCAACCTGAGAAGCGCTGTGATTGAGAGGTGGTGGCGCCCAACGAATTTCGGGCTACCTTTTTCAGCTTATTGCTACTTAACTAAGCCAACGATATCATTTTATTACATGGCTCTTGGCCAGCACTGCCAGCTTGCCGAGCCGGCGATTTCACTTTCCACGGAGCGTGGCTTTAACAGGACACCCTCTCACCTTTCAGGATATCCCCCAACCCTCCGCCCTCTCATCCCCCTCCCTCCTTGGAGGCCATTAACGTGTTTCGTTTCATTTAACTTTTACGCTCTGCTACCCCCGAAGTCCCCCAAGCCCCCCCTGAACCTGCTATTCAGCACAGGACTCTGGAGTTTTGGTCCTGGGGAGCGAAAGTTTTACCTGCTGCATGCTTGACCCCACAATGTTTCAGCCACCCAGTGGGCGGCAGGCGGTGGGTGGGTGGTGTGCTCAGTGTTAGATGTGACCTTCGGCGCTGACAGCAGCCGTCATTAACCTTTCATGACGAGGGAGCACCGGAGCACCGAGAACAATCAGGCGGAACAGGTGGGACCGCCGGAAGTTGACAACAGCAACAACGACAGCAACAACGACAACGAAAAACGGCAAAAATCGCTGGCAACAACCAAAGTGAAAACGAAACTTTGTCGAGTGTTTGAGACAATGTTGTAGTGAAGTATAGTACAGTATATAGTATGTTTCACGTTGCCAATGTTGAACTTTGACTGTTGCGGGCTGTTTCAGGTTTCTTGCATCGATGTAATTTGGCTTTAATGCGTCTGGCGTTGTGACAGTTTCCCCCTCGGTTTCTGACCCAGTTTTCTTCCTTCCTTCTCTTTTTTTTTGTTATTTTTTTTTTTTTTTTGGAGCATGGCATTTTTGTTTAACTAACCGCATGCCACGCCCACGCCACCGCAGTTGCATATAATTTGGCAACCGCAGTTTCTGGCTGCCTGCTTTGCATTTGGCATTTGGCGGGTGAAATGTGTTTGGCAAACGAATTTGGGTTGTCGCAAATAGCAAAATTGGGGACACTGAAAAAGCGCTCTACGCTTGCCAGGGTAAATAGATGAACTCAAATATGGAGCGTGTAAGCCCCAAGGTCGCCAATTGCAGATATGGAAAATGCTTTAAAAAGCTTTTATCCAACCTGCATTGTAAAGCATCCGCCTGCACTGGGGAAAAATCCTTACAAGATTGTAGGTTGGATAAATAATGCTCACTATGATCAAGATAACATAACTTTTCTAAATGCTGCTTTAAGATATGTTATTTAAGAGCAAGATTATGTTTAATATTGTTTAACTAGGTTAATGGATTTTGCTGCCGGCTTAAAAGCATAGTTTTTACCCACTCTCACTTAAGTTCGCAGTGCAATGTCCTGGGAAGCTGCAAGGCCACACGGACTGCACTTAGCATCGCATTCGGATGCATTTTCCTTACGGAAAATCAATAACCATTGCATAGCGGCACGTGTGAAAGGACCCCGAGCACCGAATGTCATTCAGCCGAGCCAGGACAACTGTCGCTACATAATCATAATCGTAACCATGATGAAGGAGCGCCGGTGACGACAACGACCACAATGTCGACTGGCTGCCCTCGAGTGTTTTATCCTTGACAAATCCTTGTGCAACAATCAGCAGCAACAGCAACGGCAACCGAGGAAAAAAAAACGTTGTGGAAATGTTACAAGAGCAACGGAGATGGGTAGCAGAATAGTTGACAATGGCAAATGCGCAGCAAAACGTCTAAATGAGGCCGAGACTGGGATGAGGCCCTACTCTACTCTACTCTACTATACTCTACTCTGTTCAGCTTGAATCGCCGAGACTGAAATGAGTAAACTCCGCTCGTTAAGCTCCCATCTGCCATCTACCATCTACCGTCTCCTGTTTTGCCACCTAGCCACCTTGCTGGCTTGTAGCCACAAATCGTAGGGCTCGAAGACGATCTCCCCAACCACCGGAGGCCTTGGCATGATGGATGACAATAAACAAGACAAGCGGGCACAATTGTTTGCCGGCCTCGCCGACTCGACTCGACTCGACTCGCTCTTCATCACCATTGTCCCTCAGCAAAGTCTGTACTTAGCGGGTCTGTTGGCATTTCCCCGACCGAGACAATAGTGGTTTATCCAGCCAGTCTTCAGCAGCTTTAAGGCCTCTGTGTTGACACCAACCGGAATTAGAGACCAACACTAGGCAGTCTCTATCAAAAGGTGTATTTGGATTGGTGGTTTGATATGGATTCGACTTGATGCAGAGATTCTGTCTGATTTCAGTATTACATTTTGTTAATTTCGGAACGTAAGTAATAAAAGATAATAAAGCAATCAACTAGCCCTCGTCCTGGGACTCCATCTCCACGTCTCCGGAAGCATGTCCTTTAAAATGGCTACCTATTTGTCTTTCTTTTCTTCACAATTCTGCTCGTTTAATTTTTTTTTTACTTCTTCGCATCTCTTCTTAAAATCAGCAAGTTCACACTCTTTCTTTATCTCTTCTGGACAGTTCTTCTTCTCCTCGGCCGCTAGACAATTCTTCAACTGCTCGGCCTTCAAGCACTTATTCTTAACTTCTTCTGCTTCACATTTCTTCTTGGCCGCAGCTTCTTCGCATTTCTTCTTGGCTGCTTCTTCTTCACATTTCTTCTTGGCTGCAGCTTCTTCGCATTTCTTTTTTATTTGCTGTTTCTCGCATTTCTTTTTTGCCGCTTCCTCTTCACACTTTTTCTTGGCCGCGGCTTCTTCGCATTTCTTTTTGGCAGCTGCTTCCTCGCATTTCTTTTTGCCGCTGCCTCTTCACATTTTTTCTTTGCAGCTGCTTCTTCGCATTTCTTCTTAGCAGCTTCTTCCTCACATTTCTTTTTCTTCGCTGCCTCTTCGCATTTCTTTTTGGCAGCCGCTTCTTCACATTTCTTCTTAGCGGATTCATCCTCACATTTCTTTTTTTTCGCTGCCTCTTCACATTTCTTGTTAGCAGCTGCTTCTTCACATTTCTTCTTAGCGGCTTCTTCCGCACATTTCTTTTTTTTCGCTTCCTCTTCGCATTTCTTTTTGGCAGCTGCTTCTTCACATTTCTTCTTAGCGGCTTCTTCCTCACATTTCTTTTTTTTCGCTGCCTCTTCGCATTTCTTTTTGCCCGCTTCCTCTTCACATTTCTTCTTAGCGGCCTCTTCCTCGCATTTCTTTTTTGCCGCTGCCTCTTCACATTTCTTCTTGGCTGCGGACTCTTCGCATTTCTTTTTGGCAGCTGCTTCATCGCATTTCTTTTTTGCCGCTGCATCGTCACATTTTTTCTTGGCAGCTTCTTCCTCACATTTCTTTTTTTTCGCTGCTTCTTCACATTTCTTCTTGGAAGCTTCTTCCTCACATTTCTTTTTTTTCGCTGCCTCTTCGCATTTCTTTTTGGCAGCTGCTTCTTCACATTTCTTCTTAGCAGCTTCTTCCTCACATTTCTTTTTTTTCGCAGCTTCCTCACATTTCTTTTTTGTCGCTGCCTCTTCACATTTTTTCTTGGCTGCAGCTTCTTCGCATTTCTTTTTGGCAGCAGCTTCCTCGCATTTCTTTTTTTGCAGCTGCCTCTTCACATTTCTTTTTGGCAGCAGCTTCTTCGCATTTCTTTTTGGCAGCAGCTTCCTTGCATTTCTTTTCTTTCTCGGCTGCCTCACATTTCTTTTTAAACTCAGCTTCTTCGCATTTCTTTTTTTGCTCAGCTTCTTCGGCCTTCTTCTTCTGCGTGGCTTCTTCGCATTTCTTCACCCTCTCAGCCAACTCACATTTCTGCTTTTGTTCAGCTTCTTCTCGCTGCTTTTTGCAGGTGTCCTTTATTTCTTGAAGAATTCGCTTGAGCTCGTCTTCTTCCTTCTTCTTTTTCTTTTCGGCCTTACTCAAGTTGCCGGTTTCGGCTTTCTCTCTGAGTTTTGCACAGTCTAGTTTCTTTCCTTCTCTTTTCTCTTTTTCCTTCTTGGCGGCTTTTGCCTCGGCAATTTCCTTGGCGTACTTCTGCTCGCAGACCATCTTTTGGGCGTGAGCAGCACAGGCTTTCTTTATGCCAGTCAACATGCACTTGATGAGGGAATCTACGGTTTTCGGATCATCCTGGCACTTCGAAGACCTCAGTGCCTCGCAGAGTGCCTTGTATTGCTTCTTCTCGCAGTCCTTTTTCTGGGATTCCAACATGCAACTGTGCTTCAACTCATCAACGGCTTCGTCGAGATTCTTCTCGGTCGACTGCTCTTCCGCAGCAGATTCAGCTTCCTCCGCCTTTTTCTTCTGTTCCAGCATATGTTTTCGCTTCCTGGATATCCTGGAAGAATTGCATGATTTGCCAGATTCTTCTTTTGGCAAGGGCTCCAAAGCACAGTTCTCCTCTTCGAGGATTTTGCAATAACATTGGTCTTCATCTGCCTTCTTTGAAAACGATCGTTGTTGGCTAAGGCAAATGGGATCAGAAGAAGTGTTCGAAGCGGGAGCCTTTAGATGCGAAAGATATAGCAGACAGCCATTGATTTTGTCCCAACTCAAAGAGATCTTGAGCTTACGTCTCCCCTTGACTAAAACTGCCCTGGAGTTAGAGGGCCGTAGTTTAGTCGGTAGAGGAACTTCGTTCGATTTTCTATTTTTATTCGGATTACCATCGTTCTCAGGGGATTTAATACTGAACACCCTTGGTTGTCCTAGGTAAACGGATACTGAATGCAAGTTAGTGTGCGACTTCAAAAACAATCGGTTCCATCTGGGCTGCTTTAGCTGGTACGCGAGAGATCGTGAGAGATGTCGTCCCAGTGTCGCCATATCTTAACTTTTAATTAATTTAACTAATTTTTTTTTGTCCAAATCATAAAATTTTGACAATTTAGGCTTAGATGGTTGGTCTGTACTGTAAAGAGGCAGTATTTACATATTTACCTACGGCTACTTGAGATTTTTTCAGAGGATCAAAATTTTATAAAGGTTTGGAAAATTTGGTTTCATGAGACGTTAATCTGTTAAGCAGTTGAATTAATTTCAGCATTCATATTTGGACCTTACAATTAGTTAACAGATTTTGTCAGCGAAAACCTTCGGGGGCTTAAAGTTTCTTGGCCCAATTTCTCGCGAAAGTAGGCTCTGATTTGGATTTTCTCTGGCTGTTTCCCCACCTGGCCGCGGCTGGCCGACATAATAAAGCAATTAAAGTTTTACACACCGCACACACCCGCTTCACATTTTCGCCGCTCGCATCAACAATGAAACGAGCATTTCCCCCGTACACATGTGCGCAATTAAAATGTAAACGTGTCAAACACATGGCAGACTGCTCGGGCAGAGCTTTCGCTTAAAAATTAACACCGACACAGTCGAACAAGTTGCAGAAATTAATGACAACATAAAGGAATTTAAATACGCAATGAGCTCAGTGGGCGGTTGGGCGGTTGGGTTGGATTTTTTGAAAGGTGGCACGTTACAAGGGGGGCACACACTCGTAATTGCGGTGCAAGTTCGAAATGCCAGTGTGTATGTGTGGGAGTGTGTGAGTGTGCGGCAGAAAGTTAAAGCACACTTATGTGCGACAGTGTTGCCAGGTAGGCCAACTCAACTCAACTCGACGAACTCGAACTCACCTGTCTGCTGTTGTCTGCTTGGCGGCGCATGAAGTGAAAATTAATTTCTAAATGCGGGAAATTAACAAATTACAAACAACGCAATGAGGGGGAGGAATGGGTTGGCAGGCGGAAGTAGACATGCCATAATTCACCCGCACACACACACACACACATACACGCGCGCGCTGGAGGATTCTGTATAGACTGCAAAGTTCGCAGAGCAACTTCCTTGTAGGATGGAGGGGGGTGATGAGGGGGTACTGCAAGGTGTTGAAGCACAGGTGAGGCACATTGTCTTGCCTGAAGCCTTAGCCACCCCGCATTCTTCTGGCCGCACTTCAACTCACAAACATTCGCGCCGCTGACAGTTGACAGGTTTGCTAATTTCAAGCAGTCCCCCGAAAATGAAGTTAGCGTCTGTCAGCAGCGTTTTCTTCAGTATGATAACGGTGTTACCCCCCAAACCCCCTCCCCACCCAGAAAAGCCCAAACCCCTACCCCCAGCTGACAACCCCTTCGTTTTCACACCTTTTACAGCCACAGACGCGCTGCGGTCGCGCTTTTAACATTTAATTAAGTTGTGCTCGATTTTATGTTCGACAAAAGTGTTTGTCTGCCGATGGCTCTTTCCCCGCCGGGATGTGTGTGCGGGTGTGCGTGTGTAACTATGTCGTGGTTGTGGCTCTGCTGCGTTGTTGTCATTTCTGAGGTTTGTGCAAAGATTGGAAAATTGTTGACGCCGGCAAGGCGAGCTTTTCCATCATGCCTCTTCTACCCGCTCGTGCAACATGCCTTCTTGCCACTTAGCAAACGAGACCACAACTGTTTTAAATCGTCAACTAAATGCTTTCGGGATTAATATTTAAATAATTCAATTAATGGAATTCCTATAAAAAACAAATTCAATAAAATTCAGGTATTTATGTTAGTTTTTTGGTCATTAAAGCCAAATATTTTATAGACTAAATAATGAAAAAACTTTAAAGCTCAATAAATGCTATTATCGATTAAATTAAAACATCAAAAATAACGCATACGTTTATTTTTTAAGCATAAAAATAACATGTTAAACCCATTTCTTTACTACAGAGCTTAACTGGCTCTACTTTTTTTTAACAACAGAGTGTTCTTTCCTTTTGCTTTAAATATTTAAAAATCAGCACATTTTAGTTGATTGTCTTACCTCAACTTAGAACAGAATTCTACAGTAATTAACAAAACCTAGTTTAATTGTTTTCAAAAAGTGTGTTGCTGATTTAAGTCATGTTCTCCAGATTTGCTGGCTTTCTGCTTTCACGGTTGTCCGGTCCATAGCGCCGACAACTCTTGACCATGATGTTCAAATTCAAGCTAAAAGTAAGGGTGCAGCCAAGAAAAAAGGTTGCAAATCTTTAGTTGCCGTTGAACAAGTCGAAGGCAAAAGTAATGGGAAAGTCAACGGAGAAGTAGAAGGCCATGGGGTAGATGTTAGATGTTGGAGTAGAGTAGAAAAGAGTAGAGAGTCAGAAAAATCTGTCTTAAGTCAGTGATGCAGAAGAACTTCAAGAATTATGAGCTGAAGCTTCACCACGAGCGGCAGCGAACTCAAAGAGAGTTCGGTAAAAATTGTTCTTGAAGCCAGCAAGATTTTTCTTTTTTTTTTTATGTTGTCATGAAATTTCTTTCATTTGGCTCAGTTTTATATTAAAATCTTCTGTGGCGTAAACTTGGCCTTAGTTTTTATTGACAACCATCCAAATTTGATCAGCAATCACAGCGCCCTGAAGGATTCAACCGCAGCACTCGTGGTCCTTGGGATGTTTCGCAGATATCTAAGTTCGCAGCTACATCGCATGTTTGTCTGTCCAGGAAATAGTCCTTTTATCCGAACCTGGCCAAGAAACAAGAGCCATGACTCCTACTCCAATTTTTTTAAACGGCAGCCATCGCTTACCTCCTTTCTATTCGATCCTCCGATGTCCTGGGACATTCCCACCAGCGATCTGAGCAAATCGGATGCTTCACCTTCGATTAAACAAGTCCATCAAAAAGTTTGTATTTTGGGCAAATATCGAAATCTTAATGGTAGTGATTATAGTCAGCCTAGTGATGTATCTCAAATAAATCAAAAATGTCGGCACTACCACAAGGGAACTGACAGCGAAGATATCCATTCGAATCCGAGAAAGTGCAGTAAACGTCGCAAAAAACCTCGAACAGTAAATCGAAGATGCGAAAGTGAAGTCAGCGAACGTTTGGTGGAACTAATGAGCAAAGGTGTTGACGGAGTTAAGAGAACACATACGAATAAAAATGAAATGAAAGTTCATATAAAGAAGCCCAAATGTGAAGTACCAGAGTACAAATGTGAAGTACCCGAGTACAAATGTGAAGTACCCGAGTACAAATGTAAAGAACCCGAGTACAAGTGTGAAGTACCCGAGTACAAATGTAAAGTACCTCCAAAAAAACTCTGTTTAGAGGACGCCGACGTCGATTTCCCTGAGTACGAGGAGCCCAAGAATCCAATTAGGAGTTTGGTAACCACGCTCATGGAAAAGGGTCGAAAAGTGAGACAACAGCTTCAAGAGGGCAAGGAAGCTGACTTGATGAGAATTCAGCCGGAAAACGACGATAACATAAAGCGGTATCGGAGTAAATATAAAGACAGTGTGCATTTAAAATCAAAGCATCGGAAAGCAAAGGCTAAACATAATGGCAGCGATGTAAATCAGAACGATTTTTCCGATAACACTCCAATTTTCCCAAAGCCAGAAACGAATTTTTTATGTGACGAAGTTCCTATTAATTCAGGTTCAGTATCCATTGATGTTGGTCAAGCAAGTGTACCATCATTCGTACAGGAAAAGTCCATAACACCAATTTCTCTAGAAATACTGAAAAGCCGTGAGGAGAAGCTGATTAATCATGCTAGAGAAGAAACCAATTGTCGTCTGCAGTCTTCTAAAACAACCATTGAAGCGGATCCCAACCATCCCACCAACAGTTTCGAAAATAACAGAAAGACACAAATTAGCTTACCTTCGGCTGAACAAGAACAAAGTATCCAAAGTCCCTGCTCTCAAAAAGAACTAGAAGCCAATAGCAAGAAGAACCTTAAAATGCTTGATCCATTTTTTGACTATCAAGCCACAGAAGACCAAAAATCCGCAGGCTTTTATGAAGTATTCAAGAAAAAGAATCACAAACATTTGTGGGATCATCCTGAAGCGGATTTTAAACAGAATAAAAGCAGTACGATTCGTAACCCCAAGTCCTCTTCCTGCGATGAAACAAAAAGTGATCTGAAAGAACCGAAAACAGTATATATTTCAGACATGAAATTATTAAATACATGTTCAGATCCTCTATTTTCAGACAAACAACCACGATCGTGCCTCGGCCAAGACAATTTGCAGAGCCTTATCAAAAATGAAATTCATAAGAATTTGTGGGATCTCCCGGCGAAAGAATCGAACAAAATGAATAACACGCTTGCAAAAAGAAAACATTCGTTTGCAGCTTGTGTGCAAACATCAGACGAAATAGACAAATTGAAATTTCGAATAGCAGAAATGATGGCTAAGTGCATGTACCTTGTGGAAAAGAAAATGGAACAGGAATCAAAATGCAATGACGACTGCGAGGAGACAAAGGAGGACATTGACGAAAAAGTCACGAAGATAGTTGAAGAATTCTGGTGTCACTATCTAAAATATAGGGATGAAAAAAATAAGCATACTTGTAAGCCAAAGTGCAAAGACGAGAAAGATTCAGAACTTTCAATAACAAAGCAGGTCGATACTATTATTAAGCAGTGTGAACGCATTAAAAAAACTTTTGACCAGCTTAAAAAAGATACCACTGACGACAACATGAACAACGATTGCGATGAAGATGATTTCAAGTTAAAATCTTCAAAAAAAGATCTAAAACAGCAATCTCAGGGTGAAGAACAAAGAAGTAAGTGCCAAATAGAACAGAAACGTCTTAATGAAGAAAAATGCTTAGAAGACATTAGAGAAAACATAAAACTTACGTTAAACCATTTACAAGAAAAGCTAGCAGAAGAAAAACTAAAGTTTAAATGTAGGATCAATGATCAAGACGACGAACTTATAAATAATAAAATTCAAGAATTGAAGAAATATTGCAGCGAAGAAAATTTAAAAGAAAATTGCGATAAAGAAGACTTAAGAAAGAAATGTGCTGAAGAAAATTTAAGGAAGAAATGTGCAGAAGAAAACCTGAAGAAGAAATGTGCAGAAGAAGACTTGAAAAAGAAATGTGCAGAAGAAGACTTGAAGAAAAAATGTGCTGAAGAGGAGCTCAAGAAGAAATGTGCAGAAGAAGACTTCAAGAAGAAATGTGCAGAAGAAGACTTCAAGAAGAAATGTGCTGAAGAAGAGCTCAAGAAGAAATGTGCAGAAGAAGACCTCAAGAAGAAATGTGCGGAACAAGACTTAAAAGATAAATGTGAGAAAGAAAAATTTAAAGAAAAATGTGTTGAGCTAAAATTAGCAGAGAAACGCGCAGAAGAAGAATTAAGAATAAAATGTGCAGAACAAGAATTAAAGGACAAATGTCTTGAGCAAGAATTAGAAGAAAAATGCGCAGCAGAAGAATTAAAGCAGATATGTGCTAAAATGGAACTAGAGAGCAAATGTGCATATGAAGAATTACGGAAGAAATGCGCTGAAGAGGAGCTTAAAGAAAGATGTGCCAGGGATGAACAGAAAAGGAAATGCGTAGAGTCATCTCTGAGAAAGAGATGTGCAGAATTCGCATTAAAAAAGCAGTGTGAAGAAGAAAAGAAAAGAATACTTGCAGAAAAGAATACTAAGGAGTTCCCTTGTGAATCCTTAGATAGCCCAGACGAATATGCTGCTGATGAGCCCAAGAAAAAGCCTACAGGAAAAGGTTACCCAAAAAATGAAACAAAAAAGATCGGTACGCTTGAAAAACTAAAGGGAAAGGTTGGCTTTTTGGGAAAACCTCCTAAACGTAAAAATCATTCAGATAAAGGGCTATCTGATACGTCGTTTGACAAATTTACTGTAGCTGAACTTGAGAAATGGAATGTGGCTCTCGATCGACGAAAGAAATTTGTGGAGGAGGAAATCAAAAAGTGGAGTAAGAAGAATGAGATAAAAAAATGGCTTAATAGACGACTTTATTGTGAACCCATTAAACAGATAAGAATCAGGAGCTCTGGTGAGTTCAACGATTTTAAGGCAATGCAAGTGAAGTCTGAAGGTTTGAGTGTATTCCTAAGATCTGCCCTTTCAAAGCCCAGGCGAAGACACCTTCGATGTTTGGAGGACGACCTTCGTAATTCTTTACCTCAAAAGGAACCGATTTACCAATGGAAGTTCTTCAATCTTTGGAAGTGGCCTTTACTTTCGGGGTTTGCCTCTAATTATAACCCAACCTCACGACGAACTCCTTTGCTGGAAAACTTCTGCCTGAAAAGACTGCTGCCCGACCTGAAGCCACTGAGTATCAACGATACCATGGGGGTTTACTGGCTCAACAGACTAACTTCTTTTAACCCTTTCGGCAGACGGTGCTACAAAAGGGACGAACTGAAGAAAAGCTCGTCCTTTTTGTGGCCCTTTTCTGCCATTGGTAAAAGGAATTACAATGATGAGTCATAGTAGGAAATCCAACCAGAAAAAAGAAAGCGGAAAAATCCTGATGAGGCGAGACTGTGTGATGATGCTGGCTCTTAATAAATAATTCAAATGTAAACTACTAATAGTTGACAAAAAATAAAACCCCTACAGAATATAAGCCATAGAAATACAGACACCATATGAATAAATCTCATTCAATCAAATTTAAACATATCTTGAAAAAACATTTGGAGAGCCTACATGGGGGAAATGGATACTCGTTTTCTAATATTGCCTCATGAATAAACATAACGATTGCGCACATACTATACGTATGCCTTGTATTTACTTTCGAACATCTCTCTTCAAAGCAAACAAAATGGACAGCTCACAATATTGATTGCTGTGTTGTTTTACTGATGAAATAATGAATTTGCCACCGCACCGAGCCACGGACATCGGATAATATGCTCAATGTCTGTCATTGCCTTGGTTATGAATTTTCCGACATGATAGCGAAACTTATCGGGGGCATCGGCATCGGCTTCGGCATCGAGGCAAAACCAGCTTGAGGTGATGGCCTTGTGTTTGATCAGAAGGGACATGGGAATGGCAGGACGTCGCTTATTTGGTTTTCATTTCGTATTGATTGTCAGTTAGTCCTGTCTTCCCCATGGCCAAAGCAAATTTGCAGACGCCTGTGACCCATCATCAACAGCCATCCGTTTAAATTATTAACGTATGAGTAATTTTTATGACATATAAACAAAAGTCGGAGCTGGGTGGTCTGAGATCCTTGTTGTTTTGGCTACTGCCTTCCATCCTGCTGCCCGTTTTTGCTATATGTCATGTGTCGCCGCTCGTCTCGTTTCGGGTTTTCCATTTCCCAGACGACCGACCGAGTCCCATGTGGCGCTTTTAGGGAGTGGTTTTTGTGTGCGACAAATGAGTTGTGTGTAATTAAGTTCGGGATGCTCGCAAAACAGACTCCACGTTGCCCGGGGAATTCAACCCGAAAATGGAACTGATAATCTGACTCCTCTGATGCCCTTGCTTAAGCTATTTTTACCTGACCATCCAATTCAAACTTTAATTAACGCTTTACGTATTTTTTTTTGTTCTCTTTTTAGGTAAGTGCCTTCCTGCCTTTTGCGTAAGTCCAAGAACCAAACTCAATCACTACTAATCATGGCAAAGAGCCGCCCACTGCCGCAAAACTTTCGGTCAAAGCCGGAGCCTTTAATTTGAAAACTTTGGCATATCCAAAAATAAAATTTTTGTATATATATTTGTATATATAGATGTGCGAGTGGAGTCCACACAAAACCAGGGACCAAACAATTCGAACACTGCATTCCACGCAATGGCCGGGCCAAAAATCAAAGCATATTTTCCGGCGTGCCCGACGCAACCGCTAGACTCCGTCCGGCAAATCCATTCCGGCCCGGCCGGCCGGCCACATAGTTTAAACAAACTTTTTTGTTTGAAAGCGTAGAGCGTGCAGCGCGCGCAAAAAAAAATAATCATGAAAAAAGGCAGAGTCCACTATTACATTAAAACAGAAAAATAATTGCAAAAATTTCTCTTCAACTTTTTCAACTTTCTCTGCGTTTGGCCGGCACTCTTTTTTTCTGCCGCGCCTCTTGTTGTTTTTTTTTTTGTGTGTTTTTCGGTCTCGAATGGCAGGCAAATTTCTGTTGCCATTTGCCACGCCTCAATGGCGAACTTTAAAACGCGCTGACGACGCTCATTACAACTAATAATGTTAATAATCATTAAAGAGAGGAATTCCAAAAATATTCAGGGTTTGGAAGCCGCAGGGGCAGTGGGTCCCAAGATTTCTCTTTTTCTGGCACTCAAATTGCAAAAATTAAAATACTTTCACAAACTAATTAAAATTGTGTTGCACACTTTGGGGGCCAAGCAGTTGGTCGTCCCTTTTTTGTGAGAGTTTCCTAAGCCTTTTCCCTCGACACAAAGAAATTAGCCAGGCTACCGAGACTTCGATGTTCGACTTCAGCATCGCATCGATTATTGTGGCTGGTTTAATGGTCCCCCCGCTCCAGTTGAAAACTTTTGCCATTTTTCTTTCTGTTTCCCTTGGGGATGAGCGGGCAGCTCAATTGCAGCTTTCCGGGTCTTCAAATATCAACATTGCCCGGCTCTTAAAGACGCCGGAATTAAATTCCGGCCGTGAAACCCAATTATCCATCGGCTGACAACGGGTTTTCACATCACTTGGCTGGCTCAAAAGTTACAGCATTTTCCTCGGGCCCACAGCGAGCGGTGTCTCCTGCGGATTATGTGGGATATTCGTAGGCCCGCCAGGCTGTCACACTCGCAGGATGCATTGAATTTACGGACAGATGAGAGGGCCGAAAAGGGAGCTTTCTGAAAGGGGGCTGCCTGGGCTTGCTGGGCTGGCTGGGCTGAGCTGAGCTGGTAGCAAACATCAAACGCGTTAAGCAACTCGAAAGCTCAGCCGAGTGCATGAAATGCGTCGCTTGCCCCGCACTAGAACGCCATTCAACACGCCACGACTTTTGCAGCCAAAGCAAATCAAAAGGAAATAATGGCGCACTGGCACGAAACGACGGGGTATCGGGAATCGGGGAAGATGACAGCCACACAGGGAGAAAATGATGCTCGTTTAACGGCTGTCATTTATTTTATATGTGTGCACACATGGATTTAAAGTTGCTATCTGAACTTGGAAGATATGAATTTGTTTTTATGGGTTTCTGTATTCATAAAAAGTTTGCAACTAAATCACCCAAAGAATTTGTTTTCTATTTAAAGTTCAGCAGAATTTTGAACATTTTGCTTCTAAGATTATATCTTTTGATTGTTAAAATTCAATTAATTCAGTTTGGCATGTTTTAACTGATTTATCGAAAAGGTTTTAAATTTCTTACAGCTTTTTTAAGGACCCTAAATATTTACTCACTGACTTAAGGAATTATTAAATGAAAAATTTCCAAGCGAAATCAATTAAGTGATTGTTTTTCGGTCAGTGCACCACCCTCATACCCATTCGAACACTCGCTGGGTAAATGGCGCGCACGAAGTGCTCACATGCACCTGCCAGAATGCATTCGCTGCCGATTCCCTGGCGGCTGCGATGAGACCGAGGCTCTGTCCCTGCTCCTGCGAGGATCCTGCTGCTGCTACTGCTGCTGCTGCTGTTGCTGCCTGAATGCTGATGCCGATGCCGGCAATTTTCTTCTTTTTCTTCTTTATTTATTTATTTAGTGCAGAATCTGTACAGCAAATTAAAGTACTTAACAACACAGGTGTCACCAATGAGAAAAGTAAACCAAACCTCAGCATTAAGAAGAGGATTATATATAGTATTTTCTTATTGATTCCTTATCGTCTTGGCAAAGCCTTGCCTTTTGAGACGCCTCAAAGGTCTCGCTGGGAGTAGATTCCTAGCCAGTAAGCTGCGGTGTCTTTCTAATCTATCTCGGTATCGGCTTGTGTGTCTCCCAATCTGTTCTTCCACAGTGTGTAGATTTAGGTCTCTGTGAAGTGTCGTGCCACGCACATACCAGGGACAGTCAGTAATGGTACGTAGAAACCGATTCTGCAACACTTGTAACCTTTTGTAGTTCGATTTGGCTGCGATCCCCCAAATTTGAATACCATAAAGCCAGATTGGCAGGATACAGAATGCATATACTGCCCTCTTGCATCTCAGCGGCAAAGTGCTCCTTCTGTGTGTAAGCCAACGCAGTTGCTGAATCCTTTGGTTACATTTTTTGACTGTTGCTTTCAGATGTGGTCCGAACATAAGGCGCTTATCCAGTGTGATACCAAGATATTTTGCTTGCGACGGCTGTTCCAAACTGACTCCCTCTAGCTGGATTTCAGGGGTGTTAGATACAAGTCTCTTCAGTGTAAAGCAGGGGTTCGTAGTTTTTTGCGGATTGATTCTCATATTCCAACGTTTACACCAAGCAGAAAGATCCTTAAGGTATTCTTGTATTCCATTTGCTGCTTCCCTCCGACATCTGGAATTGTAGATGACTGCAATGTCATCTGCATATGTAGCAATCAAAGCTTTGGAAGGATCTATCATGTGATGTCTGTTTGGGCTTGGTATATCCACTGTATATAAAGAGTAAAGCAGCGGCCCAAGCACACTGCCCTGAGGTACTCCTGCTCTCATTCTATAGTTATCAGAGTATCTGTCCCTAACTCTGACCTTGAACTCCCGTTCTTCTAGGTAGGATCTCAGAAGACCATAGTAGGGGGCAGGTAGGAGGTTTTTGATTTTAAGCAAAAGTCCAACATGCCACACCTTATCGAAGGCTTGCTGCATATCAATGAAAACTGCGTTGGAATACTCTTTGTCATCAAAGGCCTGCAAAATATGTTTCACCAATCTATGCACTTGTTCCACAGTGCCGTGTCCTCTTCGAAAACCAAATTGGTGGTCTGGCAAGATATTGTCTCGATTCATGATAACTGCTATTCGATTGGCAATGAGTCTCTCCCACAACTTGGACAGGGACGATAAGAGGCTTATCGGACGGTAAGACTCAGGATCAGCCTCTGGCTTACCTGGCTTGTGGATCATCTGAATTGCTGCTAATTTCCATTGCTTTGGGAACACTTGAGTCCTAATAATAGCATTAAATATTAAAGCTATAAATAGAATCGCTTTTATGGGCAAGGCCTTCAACGTTACGTTGCAAATTCTATCAATTCCTGGAGCCTTATTTTTCGGTAAGGACTGGATAACTTCAGATATTTCTTCAATCCTTATAGGCTTTATTGGCAACGACATCTGCAGAGGCGTCTCCAAAGTTTGATGGGTCTCGCTAACCTGAACTGTCGACGCAAAGCTATACGGAGTGAAGCGTTCTTCTAGATGTAGACCGAAAGCATTGGCCTGCTCCACTTCATTTTTTGCGAGCTCACCACTGGGACACCGAACAGGAACCTGTCTAAGGGGCTGGCGCTTAAGCGATTTTGTACATTTCCACAGTGAATAATTTGCATCCACCGTGTAGTCCATGGAAGACAATTTATGCTCAAAAAAATCGCTTCGAAGTCTCCTTAAAAGGGTTCGAAGTTGCATTGCAGCTCTGTACCACAAAATACGGTCTTCAGGATCTTGAGAACGAATTGCTCTTCTTCGAAGGCGCCTTTTTGTTACAATTAGCGCCTTGGCTTCCCTTGTGAGAACAACACCATAATTGATAGGACGATAATCCGG